TTAAAATGTGTTAGAAGGAGCCTTTGTACTTACTTTGTTGTTACTATACTATATATGCTGTTAGTACTAAATATATATTTTACTTTGTGGAAGAAGTAAGTATAATTTTTTTCGAGAAGGCAATAACGCCACTTCTGATTTAGTTATGTCGCCATTAATCAGCCAGCTTACCCAACAGATGGTGATAGGGAAAATCACAGGATAATGATGTGTTCAAGTGTCTTTTCAAATATAAAGATTAATTGGTTCAGGCAGTAATTTGTGAAAAGATCCGTGAGGAAACATCTTGAAAAAAAGAAAAGAAAATTGGCTGTGAATAGAGGTGATACTAGGGTATAGAATACATTAGGTTTCTTTTTTTTTTTAAAAAATTATATATTTAGTTTTGGTCCTGGGCTGTTTTGTGTCCTGCGTGAGTTGCCTGCCTGAGCCCTAACGATACTCACGCTCCTTTGATCTTACAGGCCGCTGGGAGTGTTTGCGTCTACAACTTTTGTTTCTTCGTTCTCCCCTTTTGGAGAGGCCAGGTTTGCCATCTTGCATGGCAGCCTTCACCATCCCAGACAACTCTTGTTACTCCCACAACCTAACTTGCTTAATCAGTAAGTACTTTGGAAACGTTGGCGTGAGAAAAAGGCCAGGCTGCTGTTACTATGGGGGCTTGCTACCTTAATCTCTTTACTTAAATCTAGCCTTTCGGGGTTTCACGAGGAGTGTTATAAATTTTTTTTTGAGACTATAGTGAAAAAAATAAACATTTAAAAAAGATGTTTCTGATTGACTTTTTATTGAGAATGAAAACAGCCAATTACTGATCAATAATCACTGGATATTGGGCCGGGGCCGGGTGCTCACACCTGTTCATCCCGTAGACTCTGTGGGAGGCCGAGGCAGAGGCATCGGCTCAAAGGTCAAGGTTTACGAAAACCAGCCTGAGCAAGAGCGAGACCCCGTCTCTACTATAAATAGAAAGAAATTAAATTGGCTCAACGAAATATATATTAGGAAAAAAAAATTAGCCCGCCGGCATGACGCATGGCCTGTAGGTCCCAGGCCCTACTTACGCGGAGGCTGGGCAGGAGGATCGCTTGAGCCCAGGAGTCTGAGGTTGCTGTGACGGCGAGGCTGACGCCACGGCACTCACTCTACGCCTGAAGCGAACAAAAAGCGAGAATCTTGTCTCAAAAAAAAAAAAAAAAATAGTTAATAGATCTTGTTTTCTTGCTGTTTATTTTTCCCTTCTCTGCTGTGTGTGTTGTGTGTGTGATATGGGAGGTACAATGTGATAAATACTACTGATAATTTTAGCATTTGGGGGACTTGGATTACCAGTTAATCAATTTTGGCTTTTTTTTTAGTGCATCACGTGCTGTTTGTCATAAACGTCAGATTTCGTCTTTTATCATTGCTAGTACTAAATTCTGTGTTTACGTTTCTTTGAACTTATTTCCAGAGCTAGCAGAAATAATAAAAGGTTAAAAATTCAAGAATCTGAAATAACGAATCCTGTCATTTTACTTCCTGTCGAGAGGTGTTTTTATGGACTTTAGGTTTTTAATAATATGTTGAGCAGTACAAATCATTATAAAGATTTTAGAAACACAAAACATCCTTATCTACAGAATATATCTATTGTTTTAGAAACATTTAGATTCTTGTTAGTTTTATCTTTACATTTTCACCTGTGGCTTGTGTGTTCCGCCTTCCGACCTTATAATCATTGGTCTGTGTTGTATATATCATAGGTAAGGCGATTTACGTTCCTGCGAAATAATTCCTTACAATCAGAAAGCAAGGGAATTGCCTATTTTTTCTTTTCGTTTTTGACACTGTTCTTTATTGCCAGTTGATCTTATTCGTTGCAATACAGTGCTCACATTTAATATAGAAAAGCGCTAAAGACTATATCTTTTTAGTGATTAATCGGGATATTAATGCTGTTTGCACCCATTTTGTATCACTCAGAATTTGTTTTTTGAGACAGGAGTTCTCACTCTGTTGCCGCGCAGTGTACCGTGGCATCAGCGTGCTCAGCAGCACCTCCAATCCTGGGTCAAGGCCATCCTCCTGCCTCAGCCTCCGAGTAGCCTGGGATACAGGCATGCACACCACCCGGCTAATATCTTTCTCTCTAATATATTTAGTTGGCCAATTAATTTCTTTCGTATTTTTGGTAGGAGACGGGGTCTCGCCTCTTGCTCAGGCTGGTTCGAACTCCTGACCCGTTGAGCGATACCTCGCCCCTCGGCCCCAGAGTGCTGTAGGATGACAGGGCGTGAGGCCCCGCCCCCGGCCTTACTCAGAGTTTCTGAAATGAATAGCCACGATGGATGTGCTGTGACTGTGATCAGGTAGAGTATTAGTGTGGTGGTTTTAGTCACGCGTACGTTAGCCTCAGTCGTTGAGACTGTTTGTGTTCTTAGTGTTGTATTTACTAGTGTTCGTGTCCAATAGAAGAGTTACAACAATTAAGAGAGCAGAGGAAATATCCTTTGCATTTCTCGTGTTACGATTTCTAAAAAGTTGCTTTTATATCTGTGAGAATCATGAGACCATGGTAATGGTCTTTGTGATGATTTCACATGATCATTTTGAGTAAAGGAGGGAGGTGTGAATCTAGCTTTTTCTGCTTGTTTTTGCTTTTTTTTTTTGTTGAACGATTAATCACTTGATTACTTTGGATGAACATATGTCCGTGTCTTCTATCTATTCTTCTCCCAGAATTTATATATTTTAGATGTATATGGTTTTCATTCGTCATGAAGTAGGAGTTGAGAAAACAATACAACTTGAGGTTTATTATTGTGGCAGAGAAACGTTTTTGAACAAATTACTTAAGAAATTGAACAGTTGGTCTTGATAGAGACTCGTCCCAGGGTTGCTGGTTAATCCGTCCCTGCCCTTGTAGATTACGCATTTAGTAATCCAAGGGTATGTTTTTAAGTCATTCTCTTAAAAGAGTTCCAAGAAATTATGTTAATTAAATTAAATACTTAAAGATGCTTAATGTATTTTTGTCTTTTTCTTTTCTTAATGGTTATCTGATAACAGCCATTATTATATCTTTAAATCCAAGCTTAAAGATAATCATAGGTGTAAAAAATGTAGCCATGTTCTTGTACCTATGGGTTCTGGGGTATGATCATTAGTCTTTTGTTGTTGTTGTTGTTGTTGAGACAGACTCAATCTGTTGCCCGGGCTAGAATGCCGTGGCATCAGCCTCACTCACAGCAACCTCAGACTCCTGGGCTCAAGTGTATCTCCTGCCTCAGCCTCCCGAGTAGCTGGACTACAGGCATGCGCACCATGGCCGGCCTATTTTTGCCTATATATATTTTTAGTTGGTCAATTAATTTCTTTATATTTTTAGTAGAGACAGGGTCTCGCTCTTGTTCAGGCTGGTTTCCAACTCCTGACCTCGAGTGATCCTCCCTCCTCGGCCTCCCAGAGTGCTAGGATGGCAGGTATGAGCCACCGCGCCTGGCATTTGAAATTAGATTTTAAAAGAGAAACTTTTGAGAATAGAAAAATAGGTTCATAAGTTTGTGAATTTGATAGGTTTCTTGTGATTTGTTTGGTTTTTAAAATTACATGAATAAGCACTTATCGTTAAAAGTATATTTAAATCTATCCCTATTTTACATACTGCTGTTACTTTTAAAATATTTAATATCTGTTGGTATCAAGATAAAATATGATTTATTTGGGGGGATAAAATAAACCTCAAATCTTTTCTGGAATGAAGTTGAATAAAAAGTAAATATTAAAATTAAAATGTTTTTAGTTAATTCAATCTAACAGTGATCATAAACTTTAAAAATCAATTTTGTAAGCGATACATAGTAACATTGTAAATCTATAAAATCAAGTTTCAAGCATAATTTTTATATTTTTTTAGACGAGATCGGGCGCGTTTAGGGTGGTATGGCCGTAGACTAAACTGAGCTTAGAATCTCCCAAATAAATGTTCAAGTTTTGGGCTCAGTACCCCTTGCCACACAAATGTGTTTTTAGCCAAAATAAGTTTATTTTACTGTTGGAGATATATTGTACATTCTTTGTTCAAAATATTACTTAAATTTGAAAAGAAGATTTAATTCATTTTGATTTATAGTTTTATTACCCATTTATGTATTTAGACTTCTCTCTATTTTATTGGCAAATTTCAGAATATCATCTAATTAAAGCTATAAATTTTACATTTGAAATGGCTTAAAAATCGTTTAAACATTATAAGACCTTAGAGTTGATTAATGAAGCAGTGTTAGACAGGGAGATGTCTTAACAGAATATGAATATTTCTGTTATGGAATCGGGTATAAATGCTAGTCTTCTTGTATTGAAACAACCACCCAAGAAATGGACAAGTGGCGGTAGTGGTTTGGGTTACAAAAACGGTCAGCAGACATTTGAAGCGGCGTTGTGAGGCTGGTGCGGAATCTCTTCACCGTGGAACAATAAAACTGCTCGTGCTTCTGGACGTGATGCGAATCACGTGGTAACACGTGAAAATACAGAACTGTGGTGGATATTGTTAGCATCAGCGTGTTAAATAGATTCTAACATACACAATTTAGCCGTTTTCTCAGTGATTCAGAATCACTTAAAAATTAAGAAGAAGTATTCTACATAATAGTAACAATTATTTTGAATTATTTTTTTTTTTTTTGAAGGATCCTCCACTGTGGCCCTGGAGCTTTATTAAATAAGAGCATGATCCTATTTGTCATTCATACTTCGGTGCAGAACTGTTCCATGATTGATCTGTTGGCTTGGGAGAATGCTTTCAGGGTTTTTGTTTTGTTTTGTTTTGTTTTTTTTTTTATAAAATAGTGATTTCTGCATTTTCTAGAAACATTAACAAAGTTTGCTAGAATCATCGCTGGTCTTAGAATGGAACAGAAAACATACGTTTTTTTTTGTTTGTTTGTTTTTTTATCCTTTATCATGTGTCGCTTCGATCCGTCTTGTAAAACTTCACATTTGCTCTGTTCTTGCAGGGTTTATGCTTGAGCCAGATCCGGAACGCAGACCCGATATATTTCAAGTGTCACATTTTGCATTTAAATTTGCCAAAAAGGAGTGTCCAGTCTCCAATATCAATGTGAGTAGTTTTTCCTGTAGGTTATGAATCTGTTTATTTATTTTTTAAATTTTTACTTTATTTTAAAAAATTATGTTTTCTTTTTTTTTCTTTTATGTCTTTAAAAATGTTTCTTTTCATATTTTACTTTATTTCTTCTACTTTTTGTCTTAAAGTGCACTGAGAGTAGTTTATGAATTTAAAATCTGATTTTTCGTATGTGGATATATATATATATCCTTTCAGAGTTACTTGTTTCAGGACGGGTGCTTTGATAGCACGTTTGATTGTATTTTTGGTGTAAACCCGAGGTGCTCAAACTGAGGTGCCCTGAGGTACCCTGGGGTGCCGCGGCAGGTTCAGAGGTCACTGGCAGGATAGTTTTGCATTTTCGAGGAAAACGCAGTGACAGATGTTTGACATAGCACAAACCAATTTTAAGTTACCTGGGCCTGACCATTTAATAACTAACTAGGACAATCAGATTTTTTTTTCCTGCGTACATGTGCCGTGAAAAATTGCCGAGACGCTCACTAGTCTGTTAGCCGAGAAGGTGCGAGAACTCCCGTTGTGAAACGCACAGGCGTCTAAACAGAGAGACCCGGGTTCAGTTCCATCTTCACCAGGGCCAGTGGGTGGGAGGGGGGTTACTTAGTGTCTATTTCCTGTTCTGTAGAACAAGGAGAGTAATTACGAGGGTTACGTGTAAAACCCAGTGCCTAGTCCACGGAAGGTGCTGGGTTGCCGATAACCTAATGTCACTCGGGGGCTTGGAATTATGTTCACGGCCTGCGCAGTATACGCTTGCCTGTTTCAGACGGACCGTGCGTGGCAGGTCTCTGCTAGTTTTAACGAAGGTTGCTATAATCGTCGCTCATTTTCATCAGCCATTCTCAACTTTGTAAAGGTCCTTCTGGCCTGACTTATTTTTTTTTTTTTTTTTTTTGAGACAGAGTCTCACTCTGTCGCCCGGGCTAGAGTGCCGTGGCGTCAGCCTCGCTCACGGCAGCCTCAGACTCCTGGGCTCAAGCAATCCTCCTGCCTCAGCCTCCTCCCGAGTAGCTGGGACTACAGGCATGCGCCACCACACTCGGCTCACTTCTTTCTATACATTTTTTTTTCTTTTTTTAGTTGGCCAATTAATTTCTTTCTATTTTTAGTAGAGACGGGGAGACGCTCTTGCTCAGGCTGGTCTCGAACTCCTGAGCTCAAGCGATCCTCCCACCTCGGCCTCCCAGAGTGCCGGGATGACAGGCGTGAGCCGCTGCGCCCGGCACTGCCCTGACTTACTCTTACACGGTTTCTTTTGTGTGTAACTTAATTCACCCAGTCAGAAGACAGAAGGAATATGGTGCTTTCTTTTGGGTTTGTCTTTTTGAAGGCCTTACTGTATGCATGTGATATTTTCTCTGTTGAAGCTGAAAGTTTTGCAGTTCTAACATTTCCAGTAATGGAAGTGGGTTTGACTGTGGATTTAAAGTTTCTTGTTCAGCAGATATTCATTGAGTACCTTCCAGGCAAACGCTGGGCATCCACAAATGAGTAAGGCCTTCTCCACCTTCCTCTTCTGGACTGCAGGCAGTGTCATGAGAATTACCTGTAGTATTTAGGAAAAAAACGCTTTATTCTTATCCTTGGTGTTAGCTGCTTTTTCCAAAGTGCAAAACAGTCATTGATTTAAATTATAATCTTTCTTTTTACCCAAGACTTACCCATTTGTCAGTGGACACAATGAGGTTTTTTCTGCTTGCTTTCTGAGGGTTTGTGTGGAACGTGAATACGAAAATGACATTTGTGTAGCATGCAGTGATAGATACCTGCAGATTGGAGCTGCCAATTGCATGTGAATTATTTATAGGTATCCCATGTGAAAGTGATAGCAACGCATAGTACTTTTAAAGTCCGATAAATAATACATTCATGGTTTAAAAAAGGCTTTCTGAAATTAAGAACTGAAATGAAAAGTTTTATTTATTTATTTTTTCTTCCAAGAATTCTTCTATTCCCCCAGCTCTTCCGGAACCGATGACTGCTAGCGAGGCAGCTGCTAGGAAAAGCCAAATAAAAGCCAGGTAGGCAGAGCGGTGCTGAGACCGAAAAGGCATTTAAAAACAAAAAAGTTAAAGTTCTCATTTTTTTTTTAATCCTAGCAGATGTCATCAATTAAATTTATCTTCATATCCTTGCCCCCAAAATGTGGTGTTGCTCATTGCTTGTGGTATAATTTAGCAAGTGCGAAATACGCTTTTTAAAATGTCAGATACCGGGTTTGCCGTCAGTTCCACTTGAGCTGTTCACTCTCGGCAATGAGGAAGTGGTTGTTTAACTGCTGATGTTACAGTGAGTCTTTTTGGGGGGCGGGGGCTTGTCATTATTTTCATTCACATAGCAACTCTTGGAAATCTTATGTTTTGAGTTTGTAGCTAGTATTCTAATTCTTAAACTTAAGGAAAATATAGCTGTTATAGGCAACTAGAATATGTAGAATGTGTATGTAGTTTGTAGAATTTATAATGAGTGGTTATAACCCTTTTTAAGACTGGTGAAGAGGTTGGTTTCGGTGGCTCGTGCCTGTGATTGTAGCATCTCGGGAGGCCAAGGTAGCGGGATCGCCTGAGGCCAGGAGTCGAGGCCAGCCTGCGTAACATAGCAAGTCCTGGCTACTCGGGAGGCTGAGGCAGGAGGATCACTTGAGCCCAGGAAGTCGAGGCTGCAGTGAGTTATGATTGTGCCACTGCACTCCAGCTTGGATGACAGAGCGAGACTCTGTCTCTAAAACAAACAAACAAACAAACAAACAAACAAACAAACTGGTGAAGAAATATGCCTTAAATCTTATTTTTCATGGTTATTTACTGTATTAAATAACTATGTTTGAAATGTATTACTACATAGGTTACAACCTGACTCTGTTAATGATTGATCATTTTTCCCCCTTGCGTGCTTATTTGAACTTAAAAGTTAATAAATAAGACTGTATCTTGGATTATCAGGCAGGTATAATATTGTATTTGGGGAGATTTCCTATTTACAGCTTTTTTCTGTTGTATCTTCTTTATGCAGAGTATTTTATTTGACATAAGATGCAAAAAAAAAAAAAAACTGTGTTTGTCACCTACCTTTTATATGCGGGGTACAGATAATGGAGGCACAAGGAAAGGAGCGGTCTTTATTTCCAAGGGGCTTGCGTGCTGATGGACAAGTGGACAGGTGCGGCCTGGTAGAGACCAGGCCGTTCTCAGAGTGCAGGAGGGAGAGGAGGGTGGGCGGAGAAGAGAGCACAGAGTGCTCCTCTTGGGGCAGGCCTAGCCGGACTCTGCCCTGCGTGAGGAATAGTCAGTCCCCCGGGAAGGGTGGGGACAACTGAGGCAGGAAGCAGGGCCCTTGTGACGTGACCAGGCCGGAGCAGAAGGGGCCTGCGCTGAAGTGAACTGAGGCTGGATTGGTATCTACCGTGTTTCCCTAAAAATAAGACCCACCCATCTAACAAGCCCCAGCAGGATGTCTGAGCACATGGGCAATAGAAGCCCTACCCCTAAAATCAGCCCCAGTAATGGGCATGGCTATGAAAATCAGCCCTAGTGATGGGCGTGGCTATGAAAATCAGCCCTAGTGATGGGTGTGGCTATGAAAATCAGCCCTAGTGATGGGCGTGGCTATGAAAATCAGTCCCGGCGGTGGGCGTGGCTATGAAAATCAGCCCCAGTGATGGGCGTGGCTATGAAAATCAGCCCCAGTGGTGGGCATGGCTATGAAAATCAGCCCTAGTGATGGGCGTGGCTATGAAAACCAGCCCTGGTGGTGGGCGTGGCTATGAAAATCAGCCCTGGTGATGGGCGCGGCTATGAAAATCAGCCCCAGTGATGGGCGTGGCTGCGCAGCGCATCTGCACAACCCATGGGTGTGGTCGAGGAGCGGGAAAGAACACGAGCAGCCCTTCTCATCCGCCCCGTGAGAGCTCGAGTGCTCGACAGGAGAGATCGGGGCTGGTGGCTCTAAAGGAAACAGAGTCGCAAGACATTCAGGATGGGATTCGGGGTCTGGAGAGTGAGGATGGTGTTCCAGAAGACGACGACTTCAATCTTTTGGAATCAATGTAGATGGTTGTACTGCACTTAAAAAAAAAAAATTACACATCTCCTGAAAATAAGCCCTAGGGTGTCTTCTGGAGGAAAAAATTAATATAAGACCCTGTCTTATTTTCGGGGAAACACGATAGATGCTGGAAATGGGCGTCTTTGTTTCTGCATCATGCTGAGAAATCTGGACTTTGGCTGGGAGTCCCAGTGAATCTTCCACCTTCCTGTAAATTCTACCGTTTGGGGCTTGGTGTGGTGTTACAAATGGCGTTACAAACGATCTGTCACGCATTTAAATTGCGAAAACATTTGTGCATGACTTGGTTTTTTAAAACACGTGGCATCGCTCTAAAAAGATCTTCGTCCACTTGAGTTTCAAAACGTTCTCTTGAGAGAGAGAGAGAAGGGGAGGGAGAGAGAAGAAGGAGTAACCTTACCTCCAACTTCAAGAATGCAGCGTGACCAGCAGTTGCCTCTCCCACCTCACAGCTTTCCTTAGCATCTGCTGCTACAGCCCAGCGGTGATTATGAATCGACTGTAGGGTTTGCCAGTTGAATTTCATCCTTACTTGTGTTCTTTGTAATTTGCAGATAATTAAATCTTTGAGAAGATAGGTGCTGATTTTTAAAAAAAAACAAAAACAGGAATCGGCTGGACAAGAATGATACTTTAAGTGTCTTTTCGCCATGGCACAAGAAATATCGATAAAACTTTAAGCCAATGAAATAGTGCTATTTAAAATTAAAGTGCTTATTATAGTATGCTAAATCTGTACATTATGTATATATTCAAAATAGGGCTCATTGGAGCTTATTGGTCAACATATAAATTTATTCTTTATGAATAGTATCAGTGAAAACTTTAAAAGTCTGAATGTGTCCCAAGCCTTGATATTAAAATAATTAAATTTTTTCTCCTGTAAAAGGCATATTTTGGGGGTGAGAGATCTTTTAATAGCTATCTTTTCAAAAAGCTGTTATGTATACCCTAAAGAGAACAACTTGAGAAAAAAAAAAAAAAAAAGCTGTTATGTGGGTATGATCCAACTGCCTTGCCTTCAGTCTGTGGTGCTCCTTGCTTTACTTCTTAAAAGTTTCCTTCCAGCCGGGCACAGTGGCTCACGCCTGGAATCCCAGTACTCTGGGAGGCCGAGGCGGGAGGATCGCTCGAGGTCAGGAGCACGAAACCAGCCTGAGCAAGAGCGAGACCCCGTCTCTACTATAAATAGAAAGAAATTAATTGGCCAACTAAAACTATATAGAAAAAATTAGCCGGGCGTGGTGGCGCATGCCTGTAGTCCCAGCTACTCGGGAGGCTGAGGCAGGAGGATGGCTTGAGCCTAGGAGTTTCAGTTTGCTGTCAGCGAGGCTGATGCCACGGCACTCTAGCCTGGATGAAAGAGTGAGACTCTGCCTCAAAAAAAAAAAAGTTTCCTTCCATCTCCCCAAACTTTGCACCTGCTCTTGGGACACGTGAAATTTGTCTAGCATGTATCTTAAAGACGGAAATGTTGAGAATGGCAGATGGAAACACGGAAGGATTTTAAGCAGGAGAGAGGGTCTGAGTTACGGGCCGATTGTCGAGGTGATAGCGAGGAGGGAGGAGCGGCAGGGAGGCAGAGGCACGGCGCTGGGACGGTGCAGTCGTGCGTGCACTGATGCTGGGCGGCAGTGTGTGCGCAGCGATCGCTCTGCCCTCTCTTTGACCTCGGTCGACTCGGTGTCTTCCTTTTGCCTCACAAGTCCAGGCATTTTCTTCCCGTCCCTTGACACGGAATGCCTCGCTTCTTTTTTTCACTGTCCAGTGGAATCGGATTTTATTTTAAAAACCGTAAACCCCAATTCCTACCCGGAACCTTCTCTAGCCGAGTCAGGCCGAAGGTAAAATGACTCCTCCTCCGAGAACCTCTCCACGGCCCTAGCTTGGCGACCAGTGTTTCTCCTGTCTGTCACTTTGTCTTATTTTTGCCGTGCGCCGTGCCTTCCTGAGTATCTTGTAAGTTCCCCGAAAGCAGGGTGTCGTGCGCTGTTTTGCTGGGTGTCAGTAAATGTGCGACAGGTATCCGTACGTTGGCAGAACAGATTAGGAGGCCTTAGATCGAACAAACTCTGCAGACCCTTAATGTGCTTTTAAGAGCTTTTGTCATGCTTATGTGTGCTGTGAACCTTTAAAGAGCAATTTAGGCCGGGAACAAGTTAGGGCTGGCCTGTACCACCTGCTAATAAAGAATAGATAAACAGATTGTATACGGTATTTTCCCCAAATCACCTGAACTTATGCAGTACAGCATTGGCTTTATAATGCCACATCAAGAGTTTGAAGTCGATACATTCTTGATTATCGTTAAAATGAGATATGATTTGTTATATGTGGTATTTTCCCCAAATCACCTGAACTTATGCAGTACAGCATTGGCTTTATAATGCCACATCAAGAGTTTGAAGTCGATACATTCTTGATTATCGTTAAAATGAGATATGATTTGTTATATGTATATATGATTTTTTACTGCCTGTTTGTTCAATTTTCATATCAATGGTGTCATTTCCATCTCATCTAAAGTATACATGCTTATTTTCAACAACCAGCGTGTGTATACAGTATATTTCTGATTTTTTTAAAATCTTTTGATTCCGGTTCACTTGTTTTGGAAAAATAGTTGTTACAGGGCTCCCTCTTGTGGTGCACCTAGATGTCAGGGAGGAACTCTGCGAAGCTGTAGGTAGATGCAGATGTGTGCTTGATAAGTCATATGTGTAAAAATCCTAAGGATTGAATCACTTGAAAATGTGGAAAGGGAACTTAATAAAGAGGTTTCATTGCAAATCCTGTTGGAAAGCAAACATACGGCCCTATCAAAAAGTATTTGAGTTTTTGTAAGTTATAGATAGCAAAGCTGATATTTTACTTGCTTTTTTCTTTTCTTTTCTTTTCTTTTTTTTTTGAGACAGTCTCTCACTCCGTTGCCCAGGCTAGAGTGAGTGCCGTGGTGTCAGCCTAGCTCACAGCAACCTCAGACTCCCGGGCTCAAGCGATCCTCCTGCCTCAGCCTCCCGAGTAGCTGGGACTACAGGCATGCGCCACCATGCCCGGCTAATTTTTTCTTTATATTTTTAGATGTCCAGATAATTTCTTTCTATTTTTTAGTAGAGACGGGGTCTCGCTCTTGCTCAGTCTCGAACTCCTGACCTTGAGGGATCCTCCCACCTCGGCCTCCCAGAGTGCTGGGATGACAGGCGTGAGCCCCCTCGCCCGGCCTACTTGCCTTTTTCTTTGAAAAAGAAAAGCAAATGTCTTTGTCTTCTCAAATTATATTTACTGTCTCTTGATTTCAAAACTGTGCTGATCGCTTCACCAGCCACATCTGGGGCCTAAACTAAGTCCTCACGGGAAGAGTTTTGTATAATTTCTACTCAGTGTTTTAAGTAAAGAGAACTTAAAGCTTCAAGAGGTTGAACGTGAGCGTGCATTTGCACCTGTTAAATGTCTTGGCTGCTTTTGTTTTACATGCCGCAGCGCAGTTTGTTTTTTTAAGTGCCTCGAGTCTAAGCTAGGATAGAAGATTTCTCGTTGCTTCTTATTTTATTTCTCTTATTGATTCACAGAGCTGTCTCTCAGTTTTGTCTAAAACAGTAGGAAAAGTTTTCTGTTTGTTTCCTTTCAGTATCATTTTATCACCTTAAGAACACTGTCTGGGGCTATACTCTCTCTGCCAGCTTTATTGGTAGGGTACTATTTTGAGGACAATGGTTAGTTTTGTTTTATCTGCTTTCCTATCTCCATTAAACATTGACTACCTGGGAGTGAGACTTAGGAGGGAGCCAAGAGGACTAGCGTCGTGATTGGCAATAATTAAAATGCATCTGTCGACTTAACATGCTCTGCAGAACGGGCAGTGAATTAGACATGACCCCAGTATTTGGAATGAAATTGTTCTTCTGTCGTAGAATAACAGATGCCATTGGACCAACAGAAACCTCAATCGCACCAAGACAGAGACCAAAGGCCAACTCCACCGCTGGCACTCCCAGCGTGCTGGCCATTCCCAGCTCGGCAACGCCTGTCAAAGTCCCTGTTCCCGGTGAATTTGGCAACCACAGGCCGAAAGGTAACGCAGCCCTGCCCAGCCCGTCCCCTTTATAAAAGTTAACGAAAGCAAGACCTGTATGGTTCGGTTTCCTGTGGGCATACGTTGCCAGCAAACTTAAAATTACAGAGCAGATAATTTAAGAAACTTTTCTACTTACGTCTAATAAACTCCACTGTTTTCCTAAAGTTGTAGGCAGAGGTGGAGGTGACTGGCAATAGGGAAGTAAGGTACCAAAAAAAAAAAAAAAAATACAAATTCTTATCCGAGAGCCACCAGCTCTGAGGGTTTGAGGTTGGTAACAAAGTCCAGGGCTGCAGAAAACTCTTGCGTTGTGTTGGAGAAGGGGAAGTGGAGACGGCAGCTTTCCCGAGTTGCGTGTCTTCTCGCTGAGCCTGCAGCCTGGACAGGGGAAGTTGTCTTGAACCACGCGGACATCATGAAGTAGGAGCTTGTCCTCTCGGGCCGGGCGCGGCGGCTCACGCCTGTCATCCCAGCACTCTGGGAGGATCGCTCAAGGTCAGGAGTTCGAAACCAGCCTGAGCAAGAGCGAGACCCCGTCTCTACTATAAATAGAAAGAAATTAATTGGCCAACTAATATATATAGAAAAAATTAGCCGGGCATGGTGGCGCACACCTGTAGTCCCAGCTACTACTCGGGAGCTGAGGCAGGAGGATCGCTGGGCTAGGAGTTGGAGGTTGCTGTGAGCAAGCTGACGCCACGGCACTCACTCTAGCCTGGGCAACAGAGTGAGACTCTGTCTCAAAAAAAAAAAAGAAACAGCTTGTCCTCTCATCTGATTTTGAGGAAAATTATTCTTCTAAGTGTGAAAATGTTTCCAATTTGGATGGTTAAGCGCCTACACTTTGAGTCTCATGAACCTGATTTTTCCATTTTTCAGGTGGTATTAATAATTGGACCTAGCTTGGGACCAGTGTTTCTCCTGTTGTCACTTTGTCTTATTTTGCCGTGCGCCGTGCCTTCCTGAGTATCTTGTAAGTTCCGCAAGCAGGTGTCGTGCGTTTTTTGCTGGGTGGTCAGTAAATGTGCGACAGGTACCGTACGGTGCAGAACAGATTAGGAGGCTTAGAGAACAAACTCTGCAGACCCTTAATGTGCTTTTAAGAGCTTTTGTCATTGCTTATGTGTGCTGTGAACCTTTAAAGAGCAATTTAGGCCGGAAAGTTAGGGCTGGCCTGTACCACCTGCTAATAAAGAATAGATAAACAGATTTGTATACGGTATTTCCCATCCCTGAACTTATGCAGTACAGCATTGGCTTTATAATGCCACATCAAGAGTTTGAAGCGATACTCTTGATTATCGTTAAAATGAGATATGATTTGTTATATGTGGTTTTTCCCAATCACCTGAACTTATGAGTACAGCATTGGCTGTATAATGCCACATCAAGAGTTTGAATCTGAACATTCTTGATTATCGTTAAAAATGAGATATGTGTTAATGATATAATGATTTTTACTGCCTGTTTGTTCAATTTTCATATCAATGGTGTCATTTCTCATCTAAATATACATGCTTATTTTCAACAACCAGCGTGTGTATACAGTATATTTCTGATTTTTTAAATCTTTTGATTCCGGTCACTTGTTTTGGAAAATAGTTGTTACAGGGCTCCTCTGTGTGTGCACCTAGATGTCAGGGAGGAACTTGCGAAGCTGTAGGTAGATGCAGATGTTGTAAGTCATATGTGTAAATCCTAAGGATTGAATCACTTGAAAATGTGGAAGGAACTTAATAAAGAGGTTTCATTGCAAATCTGTTGGAAAGCAAACATACGGCCCTATCAAAAAGTATTTGAGTTTGTTAATTATGATAGCAAAGCTGATATTTTACTTGCTTTTTCTTTTCTTTTCTTTTCTTTTTTTTTGGAGACATCTCTCACTCCGTTGCCAGGTAGAGTGAGTGCCGTGGTGTCAGCCTAGCTCACAGCAACCTCAGACTCCGGCTCAAGCGATCCTCCTGCCTCAGCCCGAGTAGCTGGGACTACAGGCATGCGCACCCATGCCGGCTAATTTTTCTTTTATATTAGATGTCCAGATAATTTCTTCTATTTTTAGTAGAGACGGTCTCGCTCTTGCTCAGTCTCGAACTCCTGACCTTGAGGGATCCTCCACCGGCTCCCAGAGTGCTGGGATGACAGGCGTGAGGCCCTCGCCGGCCTACTTGCCTTTTTTCTTTGAAGAAAGGCATGTCTTTGTCTTCTCAAATTATTTACTGTCTCTTGATTTCAAAACTGTGCTGATCGCTTCACCAGCCACATCTGGGGCCTAAACTAAGTCCTCACGGGAAGAGTTTGTATATTTCTCTCAGTGTTTTAAGTAAGAGAACTTAAAGCTTCAAGAGGTTGAACGTGAGCGTGCATTTGCACCTGTTAAATGTCTTGGCTGTTTTGTTTTACATGCCGCCGCGCAGTTTGTTTTTTAAGTGCCTCGAGTCTAAGCTAGGATAGAAGATTTCTCGTTGCTTCTTTTTATTTCTCTTATTGTTCACGAGCTGTCTCTCAGTTTTTGTCTAAAACAGTAGGAAAGTTTTCTGTTTGTTCCTTTCAGTATCATTTTATCACCTTAAGAACACTGGTCTGGGGCTATACTCTCTCTGCCAGCTTTTTGGTAGGGTACTATTTTGAGGACAATGGTTAGTTTTGTTTTATCTGCTTTTCTATCTCCATTAAACATTGACTACCTGGGAGCGGACTTAGGAGGGAGCCAAGAGGACTAGCGTCGTGATTGGCAATAATTAAATGCATCTGTCGACTTAACATGCTTGCAGAACGGGCAGTGAATTAGACATGACCCCAGTATTTGGAATGAAATTGTTCTTCTGTCGTAGAATAACAGATGCCATTGGACCAACAGAAACCTCAATCGCACCAAGACAGAGACCAAAGGCCAACTCCACCGCTGGCATCCCAGCGTGCTGGCCATTCCCAGCTCGGCAACGCCTGTCAAAGTCCCTGTTTCCCGGTGAATTTGGCACCACAGGCCGAAAGGTAACGCAGCCCTGCCCAGCCCGTCCCCTTTATAAAGTTAACGAAAGCAAGACCTGTATGGTTCGTTCCTGTGGGCATACGTTGCCAGCAAACTTAAATTACAGAGCAGATAATTTAAGAAACTTTTCTACTTACGTCTAATAAACTCCACTGTTTCCTAAAGTTGTAGGCAGGAGGTGGAGGTGACTGGCAATAGGAAGTAAGTACAAAAAAAAAAAAAAAATAAAATCTTATCCGAGAGCCACCAGCTCTGAGGGTTTGAGGTTGGTACAAAGTCCAGGGCTGCAGAACTCTTGCGTTGTGTTGGAGAAGGGGAAGTGGAGACGGCAGCTTTCCCGAGTTGCGTGTCTTCTCGCTGAGCCTGCAGGCCTGGACAGGGAAGTTGTCTTGAACCCGCGGACATCATGAAGTAGGAGCTTGTCCTCTCGGGCCGGGCGCGGCGGCTCACGCCTGTCATCCCAGCACTCTGGGAGGATCGCTCAAGGTCAGGAGTTCGAAACCAGCCTGAGCAAGAGCGAGACCCCGTCTCTACTATAAATAGAAAGAAATTAATTGGCCAACTAATATATATAGAAAAAATTAGCCGGGCATGGTGGCGCACACCTGTAGTCCCAGCTACTACTCGGGAGGCTGAGGCAGGAGGATCGCTGGAGCCTAGGAGTTGGAGGTTGCTGTGAGCAAGGCTGACGCCACGGCACTCACTCTAGCCTGGGCAACAGAGTGAGACTCTGTCTCAAAAAAAAAAAAGAACAGCTTGTCCTCTCATCTGATTTTGAGGAAAATTATTCTTCTAAATGTGAAAATGTTTCCAATTTGGATGGTTAAGCGCCTACACTTTGAGTCTCATGAACCTGATTTTTCCATTTTTCAGTAATATATCTATAAAAATCTGTTTTTCTTTTCTTTTTTTTTTTTTTTTTTTTTTTTTTGCGACAGAGTCTCACTCTGTTGCTCAGGCTGACAGCAACGTCAGACTTCTGGGCTCAAGCGATCCTCCTGCCTCAGCCTCCCTCCCGAGTAGCTGGGACTACAGGCATGCGCCACCACGCCCGGCTCATTTTTTTTTTTTTCTATATATTTTTGGTTGGTCAATTAATTTCTATTTTTAGTAGAGACAGAGGTCTCGTTCTTACTCAGGCTGGTCTCCAACTCCTGAGCTTGAGCGATCCTCCTGTCTCGGCCTCCCAGAGTGCTAGGATTACAGGCGTGAACCGCCGCGCCCGGCCTGTAAAAATGTTACTGTCCATCTCATCGTGTCATCGTGAGGCTTAATGACTACTTAATGTAATACCTGATAATTTCCCTAAGAAATGTTAACTATAAACCGCTATTACTGGTTTTTTGTTTGTTTGTTTGTTTGTTTGTTTTTGAGACAGAGTCTCCCTCTGTCACCCGGGCTAAAGTGAGTGCCGTGGCGTCAGCCTCGCTCACAGCAACCACCATCTCCTGGGCTCAAGCGATCCTCCTGCCTCAGCCTCCCGAGTAGCTGGGACGACAGGCATGTGCCACCACGCCCGGCTGATTTTTTATATTTTTAGTAGAGAAGGGGTCTCGCTCACGGCACTCTAGCCCAGGCAATAGACTGAGACTCTGTCTCAAAATAAACAAAAAAAAACGAAACCAGCCTGAGCAAGAGCGAGACCCTGTGTCTACTAAAAATAGAAAGAAATTAATAGGCTAACTAACATATATATGTGTGTGTGTAAAATAAAAAAAGTTTGAGGACCCCCCCGCCTTAATCGACGATTGGAATGAGTGTCTGGCATCCGGCCGCGCCACTGAAACCATCAGCGTGTTCTTAACGTCGGGCTCTTGGAAACCTGTTTCAGGGGCGCCCAGACCCGGGAGCGGGCCCGAGGCGGTGCTGGGCCAGGGCCCTCCCCAGCCGCCCCTGCCCCCGCCGCCGCACAGGGTCCTCCAGCAGCTGCAGCAGGGGGACTGGAGGCTGCAGCAGCCGCACCTGCTCCAGGACGCCTACGCCCAGCAGGTGAGACCCTCGGGGTGCAGGCGCCTGCGCGTTGCCTGTCGGTGCCTTCCCTTCTGTGCACGGGCCTCTTTTTTTTTTTTTTATAATTTTCCCTTTTATTTCCTCATATTATGGGGGTACAGATATTGTTAGGGTTACACATATCACCCCTGCCACCCCTCCGCCCCCCACCCCGCCGCACCCGAGCTTCAAGCGTAAGAGAACCCCATGGACGCATCCAAGACGCTCCTAGATTGGATAAACTCGCACTTGGGGACCGATGAGGAAACCCTCGCGAGCGTTCTCACGCGGCGGGCCCACGCAAGGGCGCGGCGGCGGCTGGTGGCCAAGGGTACCGGGTGGCGTGGGGGAAGGCACGGGCGCTGACAACAACGGGCAGTACACGGGGGAAGGGCCCTGGCCTTTCGTGTCGCTTCAGAAGATGCCTTGGGCCGGGCTCTGGGTCGGGTTCTGCCGTGACCTGGCTGAATCGCCTTGGGCGTGCTGTCTGGCTGTCTGACCCTTCTGGGCCTCCCTTTCTTTTTTTTTCTTTTTGTGAGACAGGGTCTCGCTCTGTCGCCCAGGCTAGAGTGAGTGCTGTGGCGTCAGCCTCGCTCACAGCAACCTCAGACTCCTGGGCTCAAGCAATCCTCCTGCCTCAGCCCAGCTAATTTTTCCTATATATGTTTTTAGTTGTCCGGCTAATTTCTTTTTATTTACAGCAGGGGGGGGGGTGCGGGGGTCTCGCTCTTGCTCAGGCTGGTCTCGAACTCCTGACCTCGAGCGATCCTCCTGCCTTGGCCTCCCAGAGTGCTGGGGTGACAGGCGGGAGCCGCCGCGCCCGGGCTGACGGGCGTGTCTCTGTCGTTGCAGTGTCAGCACGCGGTGCAGCAGCAGTTCCTGGCGCACTCAGCGTACCAGCCGCCGTCTTCTGCATCCCAGTATCCTGCGATGGTAAATGTCAGACGATTTCCGGGGATGTCTCTGAGTGCACAGCTTTGTGCTGCAGTGCACGGTGTAAACAGTGTTGTTCAGAGTCAGTTCGAGGGAGTTGATTGCATGTGTCTCATCAAAGCCAGTCATAAGTTTTCGGGCAGCAGCTTCCTTTCTTTCTTTTTTTTTGAGACAGAGTCTCGCTCTGTCGCCCGGGCTAGAGTGAGTGCCGTGGCGTCAGCCTCGCTCACAGCAACTCAGGACTCCTGGGCTCAAGCGATCCTCCTGCCTCAGCCTGCCTCCCGAGTAGCTGGGACTAAGGCATGCGCCACCATGCCCGGCTATTTTACATTTTTTCTCTATATATTTTTACTTGGCCAGCTAATTTCCTTCTATTTATAGTAGAGACAGGGTCTCGCTCTTGCTCAGGCTGGTCTCGCACTCCTGACCTCGAGCGATCCTCCCGCCTCGGCCTCCCAGAGTGCTGGGATGACAGGCGCGAGCCACCGCGCCCGGCCTCAGGCAGCTTTGAGCTGCGAGGAACCGTGTGCCTGAATGTGGCGAGCTGCAGTCGGCGGATGGACGTGCTTCTCCGGTCTCGCAGCGTGAGGGAGGCCACTCTCGTCCGTGCCCTCCAGTCATGCCTCCCCCGTTCGCCAGTACCCGGTGGAACTTACGGGACAGCGCATCTGCTTCAGAGGATGATTTGACCTTTTTTACAGCCACCGCCACACCGGTCACTTTAAGCTACCCTATTTTTCTTAAAACATTTAAAGGAGGATTTTCTTTTTTTTTTTTTTTGATCTGGCCAAGTGAGCCTGGCTTTGCAGCTTGCTGGACGGGTTCACGTCATCTTGCTGCAGCTCTGGAGCAGCCCGGCTGCCCCTGCAGGCCCCAGTCTCTCAGGGCTCGGGTCCGGCCGCCAACACTGGGCAGGGGGGACGCGGCGGCCGGCGGGCGTGTGCTCTGGGACGGGAGCCTGAGCCTGCGTGGCGCCCTCTCTCTTCCAGATGCAGCAGCACCGGCAGGCGTCCCTGCAGCAGCAGGTGCTCCCCCCGCGCCAGCTGGCCTCCCCCGAGCGCCTCGCCTCCCCGCGGGAGTTCTCGCCGGCCTCCGTTCCCTGCCCGGCCTCGCTCCCCGCTCAGCCCGGGACCATGACGGACTTCTCGCACGCTGCCAGTAGGCAAGTATCTTGTCGTTTCCCTGCTCTGCTTACACGTCTTTTTATTTTGAGACAGAGTCTCGCTCTGTCGCCCGGGCTCGAGTGAGTGCCGTGGCGTCAGCCTCGCTCACGGCAGCCTCCGACTCCTGGGCTCAAGCGATCCTCCTGCCTCAGCCTCCTCCCGAGTAGCTGGGACTGCAGGCATGCGCCACCACGCCCCGCTCATTTTCCATGTTTTGTAGAGACAGGATCCCACTATGTTGTCCAGGCTGGTCTCGAACTCCTGGCCTCAAGCGATCCTCCTGCCTTGGCCTCCCAATATACTGGGACTTACAGGCGTGAGCCACCACACTTGGCTAGCACCAAAATTATCCGTTAAATCTAGTGTATTTAGTTGGAAAATCCAAAAGGCATTCAGTAGTCTTTGCTGACATAGCGTACATACTTATGTATACTTCTTGTTCTGAAAGACTGTCATCTTCCGGAAGCTGAGTCATGTCACCGATGAGGATGGAAGGATGAATTAGACGTCTCATATGAAAGTATTTGTGTTAGTGTTCCGTAGCATATATGCTATCTAAACTTCCGATCAGTTATAGCGAGCTGGGTGCCCAAGGTTTGAGACACACACAGGCTCGCGAGGTGCTCATCCTACCTCTGACTCGTGTGAGTTGTTACGGTGCTGCTGCTTTGTTCCCATCTGTGCTGAAACCATTCAGGGAATCACAGCTTTGATACGTCGCAATAAGTACTTTTTCCTATTTTCTGTGCAACTCTTAAAATTTAAAAAATTAGTTTATCATTAAAATCATCTTGTATAGGCCGGGCGAGGTGGCTCACGCCTGTCATCCGAGCTCTCTGGGACACTGAGGAGGGAGGATGGCTCGAGGTCAGGAGTTCAAGACCAGCCTGAGCAAGAGCGAGGCCCCGTCTCTACTATAAATAGAAAGAAATGAATTGGCCAACTAAAAATATATAGAAAAAATGAGCCGGGCGTGGTGGCGCGTGCCTGTAGTCCCAGCTACTCGGGAGGAGGCTGAGGCAGGAGGATCGCTTGAGGCCAGGAGTTGGAGGTTGCTGTGAGCGAGGCTGACGCCACGGCACTCACTCTAGCCTGGACAACGGAGTGAGACTGTCTCAAAAAAAAAAAAAAGTCATCTTGTATACCCCAGGCTGGGAAATAATGAGTTGGTTATCTATGAAACTAAGACTTGATATACTCCAGTCCTGTGAAGTCACGTGTTTAGAGCTGTGGTAGAAGCAGTCAAACTGATGATTAGAAGAGATACTACTCTTGGTCTCAGCCAAAAGGCGGAGGAGGGCTGGTAGAAACCATTCCATACCTGGCCGCTAATGGTCAGGGACCCAGACCTTCTGTGCGGCCTAGGCTCCAGCCACACGTACCGCACGACTGTTACTATACCTATTCACCGTGTTTCCCCGAAAATAAGACCTACCCATAAAACAAGCCCCAGCAGGATGTCTAAGCACGTGCGCAAGAGACGCCCCACCCTGAAAATCAGCCCTAGTGATGGGCGTGGCTATGAAAATCAGCCCTAGTGAGGGGCGTGGCTATGAAAATCAGCCCTGGTGATGGGCATGGCTATGAAAATCAGCCCTAGTGATGGGCATGGCTATGAAAATCAGCCCTAGTGGTGGGCGTGGCTATGAAAATCAGCCCTAGTGAGGGGCGTGGCTATGAAAATCAGCCCTGGTCGTGGGCGTGGCTGCGCAGCGCATCTGCACAACCCATGCGTGTCCTCGCGGAGCGGGAAAGAACACGAGCAGCCCTTCTCATCCACCCCGTGAGAGCTCTAGTGCCCGACAGGAGAGATCGGGGCCCGTGGCTCTAAGGGAAACAGAGTCGCAAGACATTCAGGATGGGATTTGGGGTCTGGAGAGTGAGGATGATGTCCCAGAAGAAGACGACTTCACTGTGTTTGAATCAATGTAGATGGTTGTACCGTACTTAAGAAAAAATAGCACATCCCCTGAAAATAAGCCATGGGGTGTGTTCTGGAGGAAAACTAAACATAAGACCCTGCCTTATTTTCGGGGAAACTCGGTAACTGATTTTCACTTTGAAGCTTGTTCACTGTGACAATAACAGCTAGTATTTGTTGACTGCTTATATTTTTGCTAGGCACCATTTTCTTCCCTTCACACCCCATAAAGGTAGATACTGTCATTCCTTTTTTACACATGAGGAAGCTGAGGCCCAGGGAGGTTAAGGAACTTGCCTGAGGGTGCACAGCCAATGCACCGTTCTGTAGGTGGTCGTGGAGCTGGTGTCCCTTATGGAGAAGATTCAGACCCCACGGGTTCTCTCTCCACCCCACCCCACCGTAATGAAATGACGGCGATCTCATCTTCTAAGCATCTATAAAGTATGAACCCCCAGGGCGCTGTCAGTTTTCATTCTGATTTTTTTCTTCTCCCGGTTCCTTTCTCAACTGTTCTACCACAGGCCAGCTGCCGGTAAAGAGGCCGTGGCAAACTTCGCAAACCAGAAGAGCATCAGTAACCCGCCCGACATGTCAGGGTGGAACCCCTTTGGAGAGGATAATTTCTCCAAGCTAACAGAAGAGGAGCTGTTGGACCGAGAGTTCGACCTCCTGAGATCAAGTAAGGGACACCTGAAGGCTTATTTTGCTTCCCAGTAAAATGACAGCTGTGTGATTAACAGTGAGGCCAAAGACCGTTTCTGAGGGTGGTGTGTAGAACATTCTCTTTGTGCATTAGAGGGCGAAGTCCGGGCCGCCGCCTTTCACAGACCCAGCCAGACCGTCTGTGTGCGCGGGAAACCCACCGCTCCATGGTAGCCGTCACATCCAAGATTGCCGACAGTGGGCTGGTACGCGCCTACCACTAAAATACTGTATATTTACAGACCCTAAATTCACAGTATCTCCAAAACGAGGAAAATTGATGTTCAAGTAAAAAAAAAAAAAAGGGGGGGGGAGATGTTATTTATCGTCTCACCTTCCTCCGAACCGTTCTGCGGCTCTGTTTTCTTGCGCACTCGGTGGGAAATCCTGTGGGTCTGAGGTGCCCTTTGACAGTGCCTGATTAATGTTAATGTTTCGGGATCCGAGGTGACTAAGGACAGCTGCTCTGTCGTCCTGCCACAGCAGAAGTCAAATAAATTCTTTGTCACTTGCGATCAGATTATCTCCACGTTTTTCCTTGGAATCATTGCCTCTCCTTAAACTACTAACTAACATATATACGTCAGGCTGTGCCACATGCACTCTGCAAATGTTCTTTTTTTCTTTTTTTTTTGGAAAAGGGTTTTGGGTGTTTCGAGGGGGTTGCGAAATAGGAGCAGAAACCTCACTTTTCCACCTTTTGCATGTGAGACGAAGGTCTTAACGGTCCTTGCTCTGTAGCTCCCGATTTCTATTTCATCTAGGGCACCCGGCCTTACGACAACATTTAATAGATGAAATGCTTTGTTTCTCTGCATATTTTATGTAAAACTTATAAATGCCCCGAATTCCTGTAAGAATAGTTGTTGGGATTTAAATTTGTATCTTGCATATTGGTTTATGATGATGATGAAGATTTAAACTGACGATTACCCTGTAGATACAAAAATGAGTTCTGAGCCCTCAATAAAGGTTTGTTGACTTTGGTAAAACCAATCTTAACCTTATTAAAAAAATTTTCTTTAAACCACAACTATTTTGTTTGGCATTTTTTCCTAGAATTTATGTTGAGCAGCCCCAAAAGTGAGGTTTTAAAAAAGGCAGTAACGTATCTTTTCTTTCAGAGGGACGGCGGGGGTGGGGGCGTATATAGGGAGTAACCAAATCATATCTGAAGGGTTATTTTTAAAGCACATGGTATTGATTTTAATCTGTCCTGACAGGGTTTGCTATATGAGTGTTCTCAACTCCTTGGGTAAAATATGCTTAAATCAGTTTATGGAACTGGTGAAGCGTTTGCGTTATTTTGTATGTTATAACTATGTGTTGTTCTAATCTCCCTAAAGTTTGTAATGACACCCACGTTTCATTTACTTAGCACAGGCTAGAACAGCGTGTGAATGTGCCTGTAGTGCAATAACTTCATAAAATTGGGTTTAGCATGTAGAGTTCTTCACCAGCTATTTGCTTTCAGACTTGAAGATCAGGCAACCGTGTAATTTGTGCATGCATTTCTGTGTGTGTGTGTGTGTGTGTGCCAAAGAGCATTCAGACTTCATTGCACTATTAGTTAGTCACAGAAAGATCGTAAGTTCCGGCCGGGCGCGGTGGCTCACGCCTGTCATTCCAGCACTCTGGGAAGCCGAGGCGGGAGGATCGCTCGAGGTCAGGAGTTCGAGACCAGCCTGAGCAAGAGCGAGACCCCCGTCTCTACTAAAAATAGAAAGAAATTATCTGGTCAACTAAAAATATAAAGAAAAAATTAGCCGGGCATGGTGGCGCATGCCTGTAGTCCCAGCTACTTGGGAGGCTGAGGCAGGAGGATCGCTTGAGCCCAGGAGTTGGAGGTTGCTGTGAGCGAGGCTGACGCCAC